AGAAAACAAAGATCAACTCTATCTCTGTCTTTTTGACACTGACTCCAGGCAAGCATAAACCTACTGCGATTGGTTGAATTGGTATAATAATTTCTTTCTTGCGTATCCCTACAGTCGCGATCACATTAAACTCAGAAATCGTGTTTAGCTTAACAAATATCTTCAGCAGATGGCAGTAAAGAATATGATATAATTTTAAAGGTATTCATGATCCTGGTGGAAGCTTACCTCTCAGAACTAAATATACAAGAAAGACTTGGGCTTGTTTTTCAAGGAGTTACAGCAGAGTCAGGATTATGGTACGAAAGATGATGTTGCGCTGGATATTCAACTGCACTGCTCTAAATAGCCTTGACAGTGAGACAGAAGTCTCCTACTTTTAGGAAGGGATTGGAAAAACCAATATCCGTGCCATCACAAAGGGCATATTTCGACCATTTCGAATCTATATAAACCTCATTAGATCCTTTACTTTAATGTCTCCTTTCTTCGGTACACCATCCAGCAGTAGGGTTCCAAAATTCCAAAGCCTAGCACAGTCCAAAACAGACAATGGTCTGCCTAGTACAGTCCAAAGCAGACTATGGTATGTCAGGACTCCTATCGCTTTGAACATATCACGTCTTTTTAGGAAGTAGATATGCGGCAGGTTGTAATTTTATTCCACCTTGACCATGTGAGCTTCGAGAGTAACAGCTTACAAATGGCCGCTTTATGGTTTCTCTCAATGTTCCTATGATTTGGGATTAGAGAAGCAGTCTGTTCTATTTTGCCTGTTAGAAATCGGCGACAGTCAAGCACAATTTTGGCACATAGCGTTATCGAGACCATAATATTTCCAGGCTGTCACATGGTATATAGCATTCGTTCCTGCTGCGGATTCCTGTTTTTTATATTCTCGAGTGTCTTAATAGTTATGTGATCCATAGTTGCGGCGGCAATAGCCGTGTTGGTATTAATCTTTTATATACTGATTTTTAGCCACCTGCCCTAGGCGTAATTTCCCTGAAGCAGGTCTTGGTTAATTTACAATACCTAAACTACCGTTGACCGATATTATTTGATTATGAAAATGGGAAAAATGTGATTTAAATTTATTAACGAAATAAAAAGCTTGTATTTACCAATAAAAATACAAAAATAATAAAATGAAGTACTAGCGATATACATGTATACATATAAGCGTATAATGAGTGGCGGTGTATTTTAAATCCACTGATTACCCTTACAGGGGAAGCTAATTAATATACGTGCATAGATATATACTCTAAGCAGGTGCAATTACGAAATGAAGTATTAAGTAGAAACGGTAAAACTGTAGCATGAAATTTATTGTTAGAATGTAAAAGAAGTCAAGTGTACAAAAACGTGCAATATGTATGAAATGCTTTGGTCCTATAACAATGGTGGTATTTTTGACGTGAATTATCATATAACGATAATTTAGTGTTTTGGCATTTATTATGGACTTCGATAAGCTTGAGCAGCTTATCAAGGGATAATAAAAATATCGATACCTTGTACTTCTTAGTTTAGCTCCCTCAGTTCAAAATTTAAAGCATTCATTATAAATGAAAATCAGCTATAATCAGTTGGTAGGGACGGTGTGTTCAAAGAAAACGGTTTTAATTTGATTTGGTTTTAATTATTTTATTTTATTTCATTTTATTTTAAGTTACTTTCTTTTATTTTATTTATTTTTTTTTACTTTATTTTATTATATTTTAATTATTATATTTAATTTTATTTGGTTTAATTTTACTTTGTTTTATTTTATTTTATTTTATCTTATACTCTATTTTATTTAATGTCATTTTATTTTTTATATATTAGGTTAAATTAATTTAATTTAAATTTACTTTATTTTACTTTTTTTAATTTAGATTAATTTAATTTCATTTTATTTTATTTTACTTAATTTATTGTATTATATATTATATTATATTATATTATATTATTTTTTTATGTTTAATTTTGTAAAATTTATTTAATTTTACTTTATTTTATTTTATTTTATTTTATTTTATTTTATTTTATTTTATTTTATTTTATTTTATTTTATTTTATTTTATTTTTTTTTTTTATTTTTTTTTTATATAGTTTGTTTCTTTTTGTTTTTGTTCATTTTATTTTATTAATTATTATTTTATTTTATACTATTTTATTTTGTTATTCTCTGTTTAAATTTATTTTATTTTATTTTATTGCAATTTGTTTATTATATATTGTTTGTTTTATATTAAGATAATTTTATTTAATTTTGTTTCATTTCTCTTTTATTTCCATTTTGTTTTATTTTAATTCATATATTTTCATTCATTTCTTTTTTATTTAATATTAACTTTTTATAATTTGATATGTTAATGAAGACTTCGATATAGCCAACGCCAGCACTTATCTTTTATTTTCATTTTATTTTATTTTAATTTAATTTGTGCGACTCAAACAGTTTAAAATTATAATGTCATACATGTGTAGAGTTCATTACTTTTATTTGTATGTCTGTGTTAAATTCATATATTATATGTTACGATTACAACGTATTAGTAAACGGGCATGAACTTAGTGATAAGAATAGTTTTTATAAATATGTATGTATAGGAAGGATGCAGTATTATTGGAAATGTAAATTTATAGGAAAGTTTAAAATCAAATAAACTGTCATATTGTCATATACATATATGTATATATATATATATATGATTATTACAACAGCTTACATTTGATATTAGTTTTGAATTCAATGTCAAGTGCACAACTTGTGTTATATGTCCTCCAGGAAAAGCCAATGTCAAGATGCATTCAGCTCTGTTCGGTGGGAAATGTTAGTAAGAATTCGCCAATAGCGAGTTTAAACAAATCAGATAGTTTACTCTCTGAAAGGAAGGAGTTTCCTGAGCTTTCGCCGAAGTTCAGTTGTGTCTCGGAGTAGTCTCTTTCGGGGGCTTAAAATGTATTATCAGCACTGCGACCTTAGAAATAATACTGCTTCGCTATATTCTACGGTTTATTTGGTGGACGTAACTTTCTAGTAAATTAAAGGAATCAAAAATTGGCTTACATCATACAAAAAATAAGTATATATTCCTAATATGTACTTCCTAAAAGTAGGCTGGGTGGTGTGCGGGTGATGATTTCACTGTACTGCCACCATATTTTCGTTTAACGAGTACGAAAATTCAATCATATGAACCCAAATCAACATGTCAAGCTAAACGTTAAAATTACGATCTCGCGTTACTAATCTTACTGGCATTCTGGCTCATCGAACGCGTCTTAGTGAGATTCAGTAACAATTTTTTCTGCCCATCAGATCACCGAACACAACTGTTGTTTGTTTTATATTTTTGATATTACTCATACGCTCTGTTATCACTCGATTTTTCTCGAAAATTACACTGGGACTTTGGGACTTTGGCAAGCATTTCGACTTACTAACGATATGTGTGGTCTGTCGTTGTCCTGATGAAATACAATTCCCCTCCAATTGACGATTCAACTGCTGACAACAAAAATCCAAATTAAGAGTTTGGCCGTAGAGGAGCAGATCTTAGTCAATGATTCTTTGCCAATCCCACCAAATACACTGTAAAACCTGTGGAAAAATATGACAAAGTTTTGCCGGTACGACTAGGCTACATTCGAGAGACTCCATTGCCGTCTTCGGGGAATTTTATACCTTACGTGTAGCAGTAGGAGATATGATTAAATTGACGGGTTGAGTTGATTCAGCCAAGTCTGGCTGTTCGTATGCCAGACCGACTTTTGAAATTTAAGATTTTGGCCCATAGGTTTGTCGAAAAAGTATCTCAGAGCGTGAAGCTTGGTATTATACACACAAATTTGTTATTATACATTCGTATCTACAAATGAACATTGTCACCGAAAATCAACGAAATAACAGCACTATTTCATGTGGCCTACCCCAACTAATTTGCACATATAAAAATGAGTATTTTATACCGGAATGATGTGCCCATGGACTTTGGCATGGTCGAAAGACAGCTCTTCTGTTTTTTTGTATTGTTTTTAATCATTCTTTCAAAAGTGTCCAAAGCGACATCAAATTATTATAATTTAATGATTTCCCTGGTTTCAAGCAAGTTGATGAAAAACAGATATCAGAAAACGTAAAGAATACATTTTAACATAAAATCGATAAACCTGAATTGACAACGCGAATTTGACAAAAAATGGATGAAGGTTTCTTACTAAGAAATGACTGTTATGGCGTTCTGCATTACAGTTGTATGAACAACACGCAAGAAAACGTGGACTTCTGCTGATTACAGCTCTTCAAAAGGATTAACCAAAAATATTTAAATCCTAAACAGGTCAATTCCTTGCTGCCTAACTTTGAGGGCTCAAAATAATTTCATTAACTATTCATGTTTCCCCAAACGATTTCTGACGCCTCTTTGCACCCGAAAGTTGTTTGTAATTTTTTTGCACATAATTTTCTCTTTCTGCATAAACAAACTGAGTAACAACAATTGAGCTCATAGTTAATAATACAGCAAAAAGAAATCAAATGATAAGCTTTCAAACCAAATTTTTGTTTTACTATAAAGGCATCGGACACAATTCTCACAGCTAATAATCGCAAGTGAGCGAGCGCAGAACGGCTTCAGTAACAAGTACGGGGGCACACAAACCAGAAAAGCCGGCAAGTAACAGAAGCAGCAATAGTGACAGCAACGGCAGCGAGAACTAAGGTATGGTATAGACATGGGATGGGATGGGAGAAGCTTTTCGCTTGCTAACTAAATATACACAAACAAACATATATATGAATATGAGTTCATTTAGTCGTGTCCAACTCTCAGTATTATAACCTTCGTACACATGCCGAACTTGGGGGAACAAGAACGGGTGGTAGGGCAAAACTTTCGCCAAATTAAAGGGCATATTCTAAGCATAAAACGAGTTCCATGATCGCCTCTCATGGCGGCGAGTCACCGAGTCACCGAGTGGGCACAACATAACCGAAGTGATATGTAGTTGATGAATTGTGCACACACAAAGCACTTTGCCGGGAACCGTCAAACGAAACGGTCGTGAAAGTCGGAGAGTCTCTGAACCTCATACACAGTGAAGAAAGAAAAAAGCAATATTCATGTAAAACGTGTGTTTAAGTGGTGATTTACGATTTTATTTTCCTTCTTTCATTTAAAAAACAAAAAAAACCAAAAGAAAACAGTTGTGATATTTTAGTTGTTAGTGGAATTGTTGAACTTGAAGGCATTCGCAGGGAAGTGATTGGATTGAAGTGCCAAATAAGCAGCAGCATATTTTTTCTTGTTCTGTCTCATTTGCGTTCAAGAGCGAAAATTCGCGTGTGTATTATTTAATTTATACAGTTGAAGTTTTATAGCGGTAAGTGGAATTTGCTTCTTACAAACGATTCGATTTTACAATTTTTGGATTTTTCTGCTATTGTAATTATTTGCCATTGTCGTATGTTGTGTTGTTAAAGATGAAATTTGCGCCATAATTTCGAACTATTTACTTGAAATTTGTTGGTATATATGTATGTATGTACATATTTATTATTGCTGTCATTCGGTTTGCTATGTGTGCGCACCAACATACATATCGATTGAATAACACCAGCGGCGTTCTTCCACGCCTCCATGCAAAAATGTTCCACGCCACCGGCGGTGTAGATATGTATAATAACATCAGATGTGTTAATAGATTCAAATATATATATGTACGTAAATAGTCTGTACATATATGAATATATACACCGATGTGAACACGTACTCCTATGTATAAAGTACATATGTATGTATGTATAACAAAATGCAAGCATTACGTGGCCACTCGTCGCTCATCAGTGCAAAAGCTGGCGCAATAAACCAAAATTGTATTGAAATTTCGAAGGGTGGCAAAAACCCTTTATTTTTTTGATTTGGTTATTTGTTAAATATTTTTTTAAATAGGAATCTAAATAAAAATAGCAATTTAAAATTAAGCAAAAACAAACAAATAAAATATAATAACATTTTGATACGCGCGCGAATGCGAATAAATGTATACATATAAGTGTATATTTATGTATGTATTATATATGTATATATGTTTGTGATATTGACGCTGACACTTCTATATCGAAACGTGCCAGACTTCTACATATGGTGAAAGCGTACAGTCCAATAACAATAAACAGTGCACCACAAGCGAAAGTCTTCACTACAAAAAAGTCATAACTCAAAAAGTACGATTCTTAAATTAAGTAAACGGATATGACCAATATTCTTTGTGATTAATAAAAAATGAAGGCTTTACGATAAAAAGAAACAAAAAAAGTTTACACTCAAAGAAGCATAATTTTTGTTTAAAAACAACTATATTTGACTTTCGCACATTATTGTAGTTTATACAAGGCATTTGCCAATTTTATTGCTCCTTTTAAATTCAGCATAAATCGAAATTTGCTAAAAAATTTCCTTGTTTCATAACGGTATTATCGTTTTGAAAAAACCAATGAATTTGTGCTTTTGCGAGAATTGTGATTTTGCATATTTATATACATACACACACATGTTTGTCCTGTTGTTGTTGTTGTTGTTGTTGTTGTTTTCGTAACGATTCCCTAATCCGGCATAGGAACAGGCTAAATATGTCTGAAGACATCGAGGTTATCTAACGGGAGGCCCAAGAAACGAGCTGTTTCGACGGATTTAGACCAGTGGGAAAGGGGTATGGTGAGTTTTTAAGTTATAGGGAGTATGCAAAGAGTTGTTTACTGACATGCAGGGACTCTGGATAGATAGGAGTTTAATCAACAACAACATCCAGATATAAGTTGCGTCAGTATTACGCGGGACTCTCGAGGCAGCTCGAGCTCTTCGTTTGCGTTAGTTGATGGTTTGACTCAACGAGACCGCTATTCACGGGAAGAGAGTTCAGGTAAATGTTGACGGAGTCTCGGTGAATGGTGTTCAAAGCCTGTCGGTGAGTCCTCTTGTTCAACAATTTTGCTGAATGCATTACTTAAGATTCAGTACTCCCTTTCTTATGTCCTGAGGTGGTGTATAAGTATTTCCTTTTCTCCTACCCTGAGTTTTTACAGTTACTTTTCTCATCCTTTTTGTCGCGTTTATCGCACTTCCTGAACGGCGACAATGTCATCTTTTAGCTGTACGAGGACCACAATAAATAGGACAAAATCACATTGGGCATGATCTTCTATGCAGTGGGTCTCAAAACCCTGACCGCAAATACGATGATTTTCCACTTTTCACTTTATCTCTGCTCCAGCCGGGTGTTTGTTGGCTACTTAGAGGGTATTTGGGCCAAGACCGAAGTCAAGAGGTGCTTAAATCATATTCAAAAGAATCGTTCCACCACCATCAATGATTAATGGAAGTTATAAACTTTCCTTCCTTATGGAATATGTAAGAATGCAATTCTCAAGTGGTCGATGAAGTTATGCGGCAAATTTCTAATAATCTGATATGTGGTTATAATCGCATTAGCGCTGCCTACACCAATGACGAAGACAAAAAGAAATATTCTTTATAGTTTCATAGATCTATTGCGCTGTCATGGCTCAAGTTTTGGCTTGTGGCATTCATGACACATGACACGCTACATATCTAGTTATTTGAAGAATTACCGTGACTTAAATCTTACATTACTACTAGGGCTTATTGGGCAAAAATTAAAAAAAAAAATTTAAAACTTTTGCGCATTAAATAAAAAACTTTGACCCCAAACAAACTTTGAGATTTTGTTAATTAAGCAAACTCAGCGATTTTTATTTTTAATTCTTTTTGAATTGCAAATTATTTTACCAAATGACAAGTAGATGTCATCGGGCGACCCTTGCATTAGCATACACGTATAGCGACGCGCTGTTGCCAGGTTTGAGTAGTAAAATTTCGGCTGATTTTGATAATACGCTCCCATACAGTATTCACTATATAAATATGTATGTATGTACAATACCTACATGCGTCTAATCGTGCCATTTGTCAGCTGTTCTCACTGAGCTGACTTGAAGCACGCTTTAATGAATTTATTATTTTATTTGCAACCAATAAAAGTCGAAAAGATTAAATTAAGAAAGAACAATCGCAATTAGTCTAGTCGTGGCGTGTGGATGTTTTCATAATAAGAAATTCATTGATATGCTTTTATGGCTGGCTGAGTGGCTGTTGTTTTTATTTTTTACTTATGTCTAAAAATCACCTAAATATGTACATGTGTTAGTCTTCTGGACACAAAGAAATATTAAAAAAAAATTTTTTTTTTGAATCTCTCTAGACCTTGATCGACCTCTGTGCACGGTGCATGCGTTCAATCTGAGTTTGAGTGTGACGCTTAGACATATTATTTTTATTTCTTGAATACAATCACCTTTTCCTACAGGGCTCGAATGTGTGTGCGACTTACGGAGTGATTTGAATTCCGTTAATAGACAAATAAATATATATGTATGTGCATGCAAAGTATGCAAATTCGCGTGTGATCAGTCGTCAAGGCTTGCAGTTTACTTAATACTTACAGATAGAAATGGGGAGTGATGATAATAAAGCACAAATAATAATTGAATCTGTGTTGTGCTCAGCAAATTATCTGTTTAACACCAGAATAAAACGCAACCACACAATAACAACATCATTGCGGGCAGAAACAAATATGTAATTGGTGTTCTATAAGTGCTAAGTGATTTTCGGTTGAGCTTCTCCTCTGATTTGCCGCATTCAAAATGATTTTTATTCGTGTGTACCTATGTATGTACAAAAAAAAATTGCATGCCCTTTACACCTTTTATCAGATTTTTTGCCCAAAACCTTATATCTAAGCAAATCGGTTGTATGGGTGCTATATGATATAGTTCACCGATTTCACTGATTTTCGCTGACAACGTTTTTTATGTAGATACGAAGGCACAATACGAGATTTCCTACTCTAATCCGTTTTCTTAAAAGAGCTTTGAATCAAAAACTCATTTTTGAGTAAATTGCTTGTACCGAAACTATTCGATATAGTCCTCCGATTTCGATGATTATTGCCCGACAATATTTTTTTTTGTAGATACGAATATATTATATAAAATTTCATTATTCCTTTATACTTTTTTTGGCGGGTTTTTGGCCCGAAACCTCATATCTGAACAAATCGCTTGTATGGGAGCTATATTTTGTCAAAATTTAGGACCAAAATCTCAAATCTGAAAAATCGGACGTCTACGAGTACACGCTGAAGCACCAATAAATTATCGCTTGAATGAACCAGTGAAACCTTGTATCAAGTTTGGTTTTTTGGAAATATCTCAAAAATTGTGGGACAAGGCTGCCCACAAAGAGACGAACAGACGAACACAACGGGCATGGCTAAATCAACTCAACTCGTCGTTTTGATCTTTTCCTTTTGGTGCTTACATACTTCAGACCCAAGTCAATTTACCATTGCATATGCATGAAAGGTGTCAAAATCCTCCTTGCCGTGACATGTTGATCGGTGCAGGCTATAAATTAACGACTATCTAGCTTTATAATGCGTACCGTGTCATCCATTAATCAAGTCTCTTAAATTATCTAAAGGAGAAAACATTTAACTAATGCTTCACCACTTTTCCTTCTCCCTTTTCAGAATCAGCACAATGCCACCAAATGCAGCAGCATTAAATCACAATACACTGGACGCGCTCGTCGCTGGCCAGAAGGATAACGGCGTAAATGAAGCATCCAAACAGACTGGTGTCTTGTTCGAAGGTGATGCCGATACCGCCGATGGCGCTTTGGCCATTGATGTGAATCAAAGAAAACGTGCCGAAAAACGAAAACTCAGTTTAGTTTGGCGAAACATAATACTCTTCGGTTATTTGCATGTGGCAGCACTGTATGGTGGATGGCTATTCTTTACTTCGGCAAAATGGCCAACGGTATTTTTCTGTAAGTATTTCCAAAAAAAAAGAACAAAAATTATGAATTATTTTGCTTTTGAATTAAATGACTAAAATTAAAATATTTAAAATTTTGGTTAATATCCAGGCGACTTCTAGTTAGATCCCAAAAGACGTAGAAAGGGTGTTCCAGCGTCTTACTTATGCCCTCCATGTGCCACTATTACTAATGCTCATTTTGGTTATTGTTTTTGTTGTAATTGCCGTAAAAATATTCCCCACATTAGTTTTCGGGGAATATTGCGAGCGTGACAGCCCTTTGTCGAATAAAAATCCGGGTCGTTCCGGTATGAAGACCCAACTATAGCGGCAACTATTGGATTTTAGTCGACTCTTACGACAGGCATGTCTTGTAAGTTCTTGAACCCTTAAACTTTAGGGATGTGCCCACTTTAGTCGTGCGTCATGTCTTTAGGTTGCGACGTAAGTAAATTCCGCTGACGGGCCGCCCTCTTTCCCTTTGTTCTACGAAAATTGTTTACAAATATGAGGCCATTATTTCTTAATTGTTCGACATTAACAAGTCCAAGGTGTAAACAACACTTTTTATAGATATAATTATCAATTACTTTTCACATATTTGCCTCACACTTTTTTCTTCTAAACATAAACTTAGGCCAAATTGACCATTTAAAAATTCTACGCAATAATCAAAGTGTTTTTGAAGTGTCGGAATTTTATATCAACAATAATAAATATACATATATGCACATATGTATGTATAAGTTTACCTGAAAGGAACCATATAATTGCTGTAAACACTTTTTTGTTTGGCAAACAAAAGAGAAATTTAGTAGGAAATACGATAATTAAGTTTAATTGTTATTTCCCCAGTTTCTTCTACACTTTCGACTTTGAATTTGAAAAAAAAAATTACAATAAAATATTTCCTCTTAATATTTTAAAACTTATTTGCTTTATTTCCTACTGGGTTTATTATCCAATTGACTTAATTAAGGTGCAAAGGTCTTATGTACGAAAACTTTTGGTTGTTTTCCCTTTGGATGAAGATCGACAGCTGAAGAGATCCAATCGGCTTCTGAAGTCTCTTTAACCTCAACTTCTTCTTCTTGTTGTTGTTTTTGTAGCGGTTCGCTAACCCCGCTTAGGCACAGGCTTGATTAGTCTGAGTCGTCGAGGTCATCTAGAGGTAGGCCCAGGAAACGAGCTGTTTCGACGGGGTTGGACCAAAGGGAGAGGGGGGTTAGATGAGTAGGTTTGAGGGGGCATGTGAAGAGGTGGTTAGTGTCGTGCGGGGACTCCTCACATGCGTGGCTTACGTTAGGTATGCTGGGGTCTAGTCTGGATTGGTAGGAGTTTAACCTGCTACAATATCCAGACCTGAGTTGTGTCAGGGTCACGCGGGTCTCTCGAGGCAGCTCGAGCTCGTTGTCTGCTATGGGTGGTGGTATTTCTCCGAGTACGCCATTCACTGGAAGGGAGTTCATGAAGGTGTTAACTGACTCCTGGTGAATGGCGTTCAGTGCTTGTCGATACGCCGTCCTGTCCAGCGGTTGTTGTGTGTGTTGCTGGATCGTGTCTTTGAAGTCTAGTACTCCCTTCCTGATGTGCCTAGGTGGAGGTTCAGCCTCTATTAAGTGCCTACTGGGGTGCTCCCTGCGGTAGCATCCCAGTAGGAACTGCTTGCACAGCAAAGCATTATGCTCCTTAACTCTTAGCATAGATGCTTCCCTGTGCAAGTGATGCTCCGGCGACATCAGGAGGTTTCCTGTCGCAGTCATGAGGGCGGTGTTTTGGCAAGCCTGTGTAGCTTCTTCATCTGCGTCCCGTTCGTCCCCGGCGTCCAGATCGGAGCAGCATAGTTTACGACCGGCCGGCCAATTGCTTTGTAAGTAGCCAGTAAAGTTTCTTTATCTTTACCCCAGGTGCTGCCGGCTAGCGCTTTGAGTATTTTGTTGCGGCTCTGGAGTTTTGGCAATTGCGGTCGTATGCGGAGTGAAGGAGTGCAGGCTGTCTAGATTTACTCCCAATATTTTTGGGTTATTTATCGTCGGAATTTTTTCGTCATCGACCTTTACATCCAGTTCAAGCCTGTACTCCTTCGTCCAGCTAGTGAAAAGGGTAGCCGAGGACTCTCTCTCTCGACAGCCGGTTCTACGCACCGGAGTTGACCCGGATTTTATCCGGCCAAGGGCTGTTACCCTTTCGGAGACCTAACCCCGTTTAGGTCTACAGGTAACCTTAGGTAACTTCTTCTTCTTCTTCTTCTTTACTGGTGTAAACACTGCTTACGGATTTACAGCCGAATGTACAACATTCCACCATTGAATCATTTTTCTCGCAGATTGGCGCTAATTGGAGATACCACGTATAGCCAGGTCCTTGTCCACCTGAGCTTTCCAATGGAATGGAGGTCTTCCTCTGGTTCCATCGACGGATACTGTATCGAAAACTTTCAAAGCTGGTGTCTCATTTTAAAAACCAGGATGACCCAGCCACCGCATCCGCTGTTTCTTGGTTTACTGAACTATATTTACACCGCCGTAAATCTCGTACAGCTCAACCATTCCATCGGCTGCGGTATTCGTCATTCCCAACGCGTAGAGGACCATAAATCTTACGCAATACTTTTCTCTCGAAAACTTCTAACGCCGACTCATCAGATATTGTCATCGCCCAAGAGCGACTTGAAGAGCTTGATCTTTGTTCATATCGAGAGCGAGCTTTACTCAGTCCAAAATAGCATCTGTTGACAACAGTGATACTGCGTTGACTTTCCAGGCTGACATTGCGATGACGGTTTGTTTGATGATAAGAGATATTTCATTCCCATAGAGGACAACAGCAGCTGTACACTCTTAGAGGAGATCGCACTTTTTCTATTCAGCTCTGCGACTCTTCTAATCCAATCCAATCCTGACGGAGCTTTTAATGTACGTGTAGCTTAACGTCGGTTTACAAAGCCGTTTAAGTTTTGCGGGGGTACCTAATTCAGATGTAGCGACGTACTGGCTTCTTTTCGTGCTGCCGAAGGCTGCTTTAAAGTCGAGATAGAGGTGGTGTGTTCCAAGATTTGACGCATGGTGAAAATCTGGTCAATGGTTGATTTACCAGATCTAAAACCATACTGATAATGTCCAATTAGATTGTTGAGGGTGAGCTATAGTCTTTCACACAATACGCTCGGCAGGATCGTATATGCCATAGGCTTATCGACGGCATTATTTCATGGCTCAGCCGTTAATCCATTATAGCTTTCTCCTTTAAGATGTTCTTCGAAGTATTTTAGTTCACTCCTGATGTTAAAAAAAAGTCCTGTTTAGTTTTACATTCTCAAAATTATATGTCTTTTTCTTTTGTCTTCCAGCGATCTTTCTCTACTCCATTGGTGTTTTGGGCATAACGGCTGGTGCACATCGTTTATGGGCTCATCGCTCGTACAAGGCTAAATGGCCATTGCGTCTGATTTTGATTGCTTTCAATACAGTTGCTTTCCAAGATGCTGCTTACCATTGGGCGCGTGATCATCGTGTACATCATAAATTCTCCGAAACTGATGCCGATCCACATAATGCCACTCGCGGCTTTTTCTTCTCGCATGTCGGTTGGTTGCTATGCAAGAAACATCCCGATGTCATTGCTAAGGGCAAGAGTTTGGATTTGACAGATTTGCATGCTGATCGTATTCTGATGTGGCAATTGAAGTGAGTGCAGACGAAAGATATTTGTTTATACGTGTGTATTGTATACTAGGAGATTTTAACTAAAAATTTTTCAATTTTTTCCCCCCTAGACATTATATGATTTTGATGCCTTTGGCTTGCTTTATCCTACCCACCGTTATACCCATGTTCTTCTGGGGTGAATCGTTCGTCAACTCTTGGTTTGTTGCCACCATGTTCCGTTGGTGCTTCTTGTTGAATGTCACCTGGTGTGTAAATAGTGCGGCGCACAAATTTGGCGGACGTCCTTATGATAAGTAAGTACAGTAAAAGATAGCTTAGTGAAATGTAAATATGTATGTGTAGTTAATTATGTAAGTCCAAATTCAAGTGTTTTTCGTTGAGTTAAAAGTAAATATACATATGTATTTCTAAATAAACCTATGAAAACGTCAACTATTTTGAAGAGACCATGGACATAAACACATATTTACATACCTTTATACATTAGTTGTAAAAAAAAATAATTCACTCATTTCTACACTTTCACAGGAACATCAACCCATCACAATGCCCAGCGGTCTCTGCTTTTGCCTTCGGTGAGGGCTGGCACAACTATCATCATGTCTTCCCTTGGGACTACAAAACCGCCGAATGGGGCAACTACTCCTTGAATTTAACAACAGCTTTCATTGATTTCTTCGCTAAGATCGGTTGGGCATATGATTTGAAATCCGTATCAGAAGATATAATTGAGAAACGTGTCAAGCGTACGGGTGATGGTTCTCACGAACTGTGGGGTTATGGCGATAAGGATATTACCAAAGAGGATGAGGAAGGCATTATTATAATTAATAAGAAATCGGAATAATGCGCACAGATGATGTACTATATAATATACTTACTATATACAAACATACCTATATGTGTCTTACCTGAACATTAAATGCATCAAATTCATAAATTCAGGAAAAAAACAAATAATATCTACAACAACAATCAATCTACTTACATACGTATATGAATTGAAATAGCGATTATCTTTAAGGATTAAAAATCATTCAAGGTGAACTTTTTCCTATTTTCGCAACGGCTGATAATATTTAAAATCGTGTAAAAATGTAAAACAAAAACATATTAATCAAAAATTTTCTATGTATATTTGGAATTATAAAATTTATATATGCAAATATTGTTTCATTCATCGCTAGATAGAAGCTAACTTTATACTTTTTCTACGATCATCTGCTGATTGTCACAAAACAAAACAAAAAAAAAAAGCAAAAACACCAAAAAAACATTCGTTCTCAAAGATAATGTATTTATTAATTTATAATCATTTTGTACATAAAATAAATTTAAACTATGCAATCTCTTGCATATTTAGTTAGAATAATGCTTACATACATATATATATACAGTATGTGCAAAACCTTGAATAAAGTACGAAACCTTATGAATATTTAAATGTTACAAAAACTAAAATTTTGTTATTCATTTTTGGTATACGAGTATGTATCCATTACTTCCAAAGGGATTCAAGGTAGCTCTTCTTAAGTACTATGTAATGTATGTAAAAAAACGTATAAAAATGTCAGTTTTATGGTTTTATATATATTTTATGAGATGTGGAAACATTGGATGCCTGCAAAATTGTTTCTCAGGTGCAAAGGAACTAAAGGGAAAAATACACCTAATGAGAACAACGTGGACTATGTAACTGTAGAGTGTAGACTTAAGGTCCCTATTTGTGTGCAAAATAAAAATATTTATCACATCTTGGGGAAGTGCGCAAAAAGATTATTTATCGATATGATTACGAATATGAGAACACTTTGAACCAAAATCATTACGTATAAAGTATTCTGGGAACGAGCGAATTGGCTTAAGAAATATGGAAATAAATACAATACGATCCTGATTTAGTTTTATAGTAGCATGTTAATCATTTATAACAATACTATGATCATATAACCTCATTTTCGTTGTATCATCCTTAAAGTATGCAAGTAATTGGAAAAGCTTTATTAGAACTAGCAAACAGGCAACAATTTAAATACTTTTTAACCTGAAGATAGTCCGCTTTTGAGTAACGATTTTCCCTCCAGCAAAATTATACTTCATATCCCATATCCTCATTATAGAATCTGTGCTCCTCTTCTTCCAAATTTTTTCTGACGCACTGAATTGTAAAAGTGCTTGGAACTCAAAAGAACTGAACAGCACAATTTTCTATTATTTTCAGATGGGTAGATAGATAGACACGAACACGTCATTATATCACGAACATTGATGTATTGCGTCCATACACAGCTTAGGTCTGGATATTGTAGCAGGCTAAACTCCTACTTATCCAGACTAGACCTCAGCATACCCAACGTATGCCCTGCATGTGGAAAGTCTCCGCACGACACTAACCACCTCTTCACATGCCCTCTCAAACCAACTCATCTAACTCCCCTCTCCCTCTGGTCCAACCCCATAGAAACAGCTCGTTTCCTGGACCACCCATTAGATGACCTCGGCGACTTAGACTGAACAAACCTGTGCTTAAGCGGGGTTAGCGAACCGCTACAACAACAACAACATGTATTGTGTCCATTAATTCATGCAATTCTAAGGCTTTCAAATAAGTTTTTTTAAAAACATAATAAAATTGAAGGATTGAATGTTTGATGTGACACGATTATACTTCGGCTGCATGACTCCTAGGTACTTCAGCTTTCTTCTGACATGACTTCGCACTCCATCTATATGTCAAGAGATGCCTCAGAATTTATTATCATAGAAGACAGATTTACCTTGGCGTTCATGTCGTGCGTTACCCTCTATTATTAGGCTTTATTTTTTTATGTTATGTAAGACACATTATTTTAAATTTTCCAATAGTGTAGCCGTTCATAAGTTTTTTTTTGCTACGGCACTTCTATACCAACACCAACCTATATATAGTTTATTTTTCTTTTTTAAGTCGTTACCTCTTGTTTAATATTGCACGGATAATATCGACGCCGCCTCCCCAGCAAGTTTGTCTACATCTTTGTATTTCTACATATATATATATATATATATATATATATTATTTAATATAAATTTTCGATTTATAAACGCTGAAGCGATGTTCGTCCGAGCTCCACTTATAAACTGTGGTGTGCGTTTTGATGTTTTTCCAATTTTTAAAATTAATTTACTATAGGTTTTGCTGTTGGTCGGGCCAGGATTCGAAATCATGACCAGGTACAAGGCAGTACATATTGCCAAATATTCGGTTACTGATTCCATTCACATCCCGAAATCTTCCCATTAAAAATCAGCCAGCAAATTGAATATCAGCTCTTTATTTTGACAGTTACATTTAAGCAGTTCAATGTTTTCTGCTTTTTGTATTTTTGTACATAAGGGTTTTAATACTAAATACCGGTCCCTGGAGCAAGACTGTACACTCCATTGTTCAATTTCATAAACGCAAATCATTATATATTTATATAGCACCTACATCATCTAGGCATTGTATTTGCTAATATAAATGCTAATCAGAAAATAGCACTAACTTACTGTAAACTGAAATTTGTTTATGCAAATAATATTTTTATTTTCATATAAATATATGTATGCATTTATAAGCATTATGGCAAAATTACATAAGTTTACATTTATTATCGAAATAAAAATGATTACATCGTGATGGGAACAGCACAGATAAATTCATATATTTGATAACGTGATAGGAGCAACAAAGATAAATTCATATATTTGCTTGTATAAAACATCAATTAGTGCTGTGCTCCTTTATCTTCGGCATAGAGAAAGTATATAGGTATCCGCTCTCCACTTGGCAGATGAACTAATTCTTTGTGTGAGATCAGATGAATTGCAGCTAGTCCGTAGAACAGCATTGGTAGTCCTAAGCAGAAAGAATTTTATAAACAATTTGCTATAGTGTGACAAAAAGATATTACTTACCCAAATTTATTACTTTTAAAAATCGAAAAAACTTATCCTCCAACGAAAGATCTTGAATAGCCCGCTTGCTGCAGTGATATTTCATATACGGATAACAACCGGTGCGGAGTATATGATAATTTGCGCCACTCTCTAGTGTCCAATTGAAGTGAGACCAACCTCGCTGATCATTCTCCACATCTTTGAACTAAATACAAAGAGGTGTGTCAGTAACGAAAATCATTTCATTCAACACTCTGCTCAATTTGCCTTTACAAAATAAGACGTCCAAGGAGGCTCGTTGCATTGCTTAAGGTAAGCAGTTAAAACTTCTGAAGCTTTTGGTTTGAATAAATTTGCCGTGACCCGCATTTTGCTAAAGTTATGTAGTTGCGTCACTTTCAGACACTTTTAAACATTTTTTTTAGTATGTTTTGTTTGTTTTCCTCGTAATACCGGTCGCGAATGCCACGTGATGTGGCAGAACCAATAATCAACAATATGTAATGTTAATCAAATCTCTAGAAGTTCGTTTTGTTTTTCTTTTTTGTAGCATTAAAATAAAAGTAATCCACACATTAGTTCACACAATAAGATAACGCCAATGTAAATAATTCCACAATATCTATTGACGTGAATATGAAGGCTGATAGTTGACCTTGAAACAGCTGCTGACAGTGATGGAAGGCTAATGGTTAAATTAAAAATTAAAATAATCCACCAAAATGGCGAAGAGAAGGGTTAGATACCAACACAGTTGAACCCTTATTAACATTACAGTCTCTTCTATTGTTCAATGTATGCCTTTAAATCTCTTTTTGAAACCTTCCATGTTATATGAAAATTCTATGAGCTCATAATTTGTTAAAATGGCAAGCAAATACCAGTATTTCCGGTACGCAGTGAGTTACGGTACTGCTGGGGAATTGTAATGTTGACTTGCGCAGCACTGTTTGCCAAAACAGCTGTTTAGATAAGTGTTGCCAATGTTTCTGCACACTCTTTGTTAGTGTTTTTATGACTAGGAATTTTCTGGGGATGGTCAATAGAATAATGCGAATACATAGTAGATACATATCGTTCTTAATTGTCTAGTCATATTTTTGTTGTGTAGTGTTTTGCCCACACATATTACGTGATAATAATCAAGTCGGTTTTTTCACTTTATAAAATTTAACTTCTTCGTGGTATTTAATACGTTAATTTTTTAAATTACAATATTACAGACAACTTTAGACAAAATGTGGCCTAGACTGTGGTTTGCTGCCAGACGTACAGCGATTCAAGGGAATGCTGAGAATGCTTTAAAAACTTTGACCCGTGCCTCGTCCAGTCAGGCCAAGAGAGCGGAATTTTCCCAATCGAAACCAACCAAATCAGTATTAAATGTAGAAAAATTTACTGATTTTCAACTATACAATGAAGAAGTTCCACAATTTCTACCTGGTTCGAAAGAAATTAAAAATTTAGAGAAAGCACTTGAACATTATGAAAATAATTGTGAGGACATACCTATTGTTATAAATGGCAAAGAGATAAGGAAGGGTCAAGAGACGTATCAAGTTATGCCTCATCGCAAAGGACATAAAATTGCCAAATATTATTATGCTGACAATGCCACCATTGAGGAGGCTATACGCGCTTCGGTAGAGAAACAGAAGGAATGGGATAGGACGCCTTTGACAAAAAGAATTGAAATTTGGGAGCGTGCTGCTGACCTTATGACGCACAAGTATCGTGCTGATTTATTAGCCACAACAATGTTGGGCCAATCAAAAACCGTTATTCAGGCAGAAATCGATTCTGGTGCTGAATTAATCGATTTCGTGCGTATGAATGCAGGCTACTTGAAACAATTAGCCAATGATCAGCCGTTAAGTCCGCAACCGGAAATAACTAAGAATTCGTTACGTTTTCGTGGTTTGGAAGGGTTTGTCGCTGCAATAACCCCATTCAACTTCACAGCGATCGGTGGCAATTTGGCATATACGCCAGCCCTAATGGGCTGCAGTGTTTTGTGGAAGCCTTCGGATACCGCAATGCTTTCCAATTGGACAGTTTTCAAAATTATGCGTGAGGCAGGCTTACCCGATGGTGTAGTTAACTTCGTGCCGGCAATTGGTAAGAAATGAGTAATAAAATAGCTTAAAGACAATTAAAACAGAAAACAGTGTAGAACTTATTTCCTACACACCAGCATATGAATGAATGGAAGTGGTCGTAACTAAAATATATTCACTCAGATTAGATTAAAAAGCAATTTTTAAATGCCTCTGCAAATAATTACTTACATTTATTATATTTAAAATGGTAAATTCCAGAAGTTTGCAGCAAGCTAAAGGTTTTATTTGTGCTATTTTAAATTTCTTACCTAAAATAATTTGCTTTAGTTCCGGTCTTTTGCGTTTTAAATGACGACACGTACATACATATTTATAAATATCTACGTGTATATATTCTCTACTTAAATGTCATTCAATTATATTTTATCAGGCAAAAATTTTGGTGACACCATTACCAGCTCTCCCGATTTAGCTGGCATTAACTTCACTGGCTCTACAGCCACATTTAAAACACTTTGGAAGTTGGTGGGCGATAAAATCGATACTTACAAAAACTATCCACGTTTGATTGGTGAATGCGGTGGTAAGAATTTCCATTTTATCCATCCATCAGCAAATGTTCAAACAGCCGTTGCACAAACCATACGTTCGGCTTTCGAATATGGCGGACAAAAATGTTCAGCTTGCTCTCGTTTGTATGTGCCTGAGTCACTTTGGGAGTCACAATTTAAAGGACCACTTATTGAGAAAGCTAAAGACTTGCAAATAGGCGATGTACGCGATATTGGCAACTTTTATGGAGCCGTAATTGATGAGAACTCCTACCAACGTATTCTTGGTTTTATCAATGAGGTTAAGAACGATCCCGAGTGCACAATATTGGCTGGTGGTAATTTGTCTAATTTGAAAGGTTTCTTTGTGGAACCGACTATCGTACAAGTTAAGGATACAAACAAGCGTGTCATACGTGATGAAATCTTTGGACCAGTATTGTCGGTGTATGTATACAAGGATAGCGATTTAGATAAGACTATTGATTTAGTGCGAACTGCAACAAAATATGCATTGACTGGCAGTGTTTTCGCAACGGATGAATCGTTCTTGAAACGTGCATTGGAAGAATTCAAACATGCCGCTGGCAACTTTTATATTAATGATAAATCAACAGGTGCTGTTGTTGGTCAACAGCCATTCGGTGGTGCACGTCAATCGGGCACAAATGACAAGGCCGGTTGTCCATTCTATCTGATGCGTTTCGCTTCGATGCAAGCTGTAAAAGAGACATTCGTTCCTCTGCCCGACGTATACTATCCATATATGAACAAAACGAATAACTAAAAAAAAAGCAATTGATAAATTATATTTTCTTTTTTTCTTTTTAATTGAAACTAAGCGAATCTCGAATGGCAGTTAAAAACTAAAAAGAAAAAAGCTTTTACTATGTGGTTATATATTGATTTATTCCGTGAATACTGGATTACAAATTTATTGAATTAGTTAAGAAATTAAACATGTAAATCTCAATTTATACACACTGTATTTGTATTTTATTGGAATCTCTTGAAACGAACAATTAACTTATAAACCTAGATAATTACATAGCTATATAACAGCTGAATGTAGGCTGAATTGCCAAAGTACATACATGCACACACACATACATATATATATATATATAAATGCATAAAAACAAAATTATGAAATTCATTAAATGCCAGGCCCACTATTTGTTATCAGCAATAAATTTCAGCACATAGACAAATACATACATATACATATATATATATATAGTAGTATATTCTGATTCCTTGGTGGTGCATGATGTTATGCTTATACACGTACATGTACTAACATTCGTTGAATAAAAAACCGACCTGAGATAAGCGTTTGCTTTTTTGTTTTTGTTTTATTTGTATATTTCCATTAATTGTTTAGCGGTCTAACCTAGTCATAAGCGTGTCTATTTAATAGAGCCACAGAAAAAAAACTACTGATAAAGACATATAAATACATACAAACATACATACATTTTAAATATTCCTGTGCATTAGCGAACTAAATACTAATTGGACAATATTGAAATATTTTAAATAAAAAAGTACTCTATATTTAAAACTTCAGCAAATGTGTTGTTAATGAGAAAATTTTAAATAAATCTCTGTTAAGCAAATTGAAAAAAAAAATTGAAGTAAATCCTATTGGAAAACATTTTCATTTACTTATTCAAAATAATCTTTTATTTTTATATATACATAGATATTGTATATACATATGCACATACTTTTCTACATTTAATAATTATTTTAAATTGTTTTAAATTTTTCACTCGTGGAATTACGCTTTTAACGTTTTACCTGCCTGGAATAGATAGACCTTTTGATAAAATTAATATCTGTGTATACCTTTTTTATCTTATACTCGCACTTTCCACCTGTGGTCTTATTGAATATGTTTGGATAAGATTTACGTACTCTCGACGTACTGTCGTCTATTTATTTCTGTTATCTTGCCATAAATTTGCACATGCATATGCACATTTATCAAATTTTTTTTGCACATACATATACATATAAGAGAGAGAGAGAGAGAAAGAAAGAGAGAGAGAAAGAGATGTTAGTTAATACTCCTGCAAGAAGACTTCCGATCATTTGAGCCAACATATGTCAGGAATGCATTACGACGTATGCCGTCAGCTCGTAAGACGATTTTTCTATCACTTTCTTAAGGCCGAAATGACAAACGTGATGTTTACATTTGTATACGTGTACGTGTTCGTTTCTTTGTGCATTATCCTCATTCTTGTCCGACAAATAGAACACAGCTGAGCGACACCATTGATGCCGAAGGAAATCAGCTTTGACAAAAACTTTCCCTACATATACGTATATACATACATACAAACATTATTAAGATTCAGTCTTTATTTCAATATTTAACAGAAATCATGTACATGGTTTACATAGCATACATAGGAAATAACAATACAACAATAAATTCGTTTTCAAAAATCAGCAAAAAATTATACTCTTTTCTACATCTAAGTAAAACTAAAAAATTATTTTCGAGTCACAATATTATTAATATCTTAATGCAGTTGTACCTCACAAACTTTTGTTGAATATTTTTGAGATGTGCTGCTGCTGCAAGATGAGCAGCGTCCGTTCTACTCGAAAATAAGAACAAAGAAAGTCGGATAATCCGTTCAATTGCATTCTCTTTCAGTTTACTTAGAAGTGAAAGATAAACAAAAAAAAAACATGAGTTTATTGGTGAACCCATCAGCCCGTTATTGCAGGGACGTTGTCGTCTGGACCGATTTCGATGATTCGTACTTAATCGCATTGGTCGAACTAACCAACAAACAAGAAGAACAAGAAATCAAAATACTCGCGAGCACCGTTTACGAGCTATACGGTGACATTGATATGGTTCAGTGAATGCTGTATGCTGGCAATGTCTTGTCCAATGATTGAAAACGCTCCAGCTTTGAATGTATGCGAGGCAGTATCTGCCGCTGAAAGTGGAGGAAGACTGGAAGAATCAGAAGGCGAGCGATCTACGATCACGTATATATATGCTTTGTAATCGCTGAAGCGATTTTCGGCCGTGCTCCTCTTCAAATTTGAATTGTGCGTCTTGATGGTTTTCCAACAAATAGACTGACCCACTGGTTATTCGAAGCCGCCTCCGCATGGCCGAAAAATTTTTATAAGGAGCTTTTATTTCACGTGAGATATACACTCGGCTTGACATTTTCTACCGGGTGGCGACCGCAATTAGAAAAATTAATTTAGTTTTTTATTTGAATTAATTTTCAATTATCTTTGTATGTTGGTCAAAGTAGGACTCGAAGCCTGGGGTAAGTCATTAATGTCCAGTAAATGAGCTTTTTCGACGGGCTCGGATCAAAGCAAAAGGTAAGATGAGTAGGTTTTAAGGGGCATGCAAAGAGGTGATGGTTGGTGTCGCACGGAGCTTCATTGCATGCATCACATACGTTCGTGGCATGCTGGAGTCCAGTCGGGGTGAGTAGAAATTAAGACGATTACAATATCCAGATCTTAATTTTGCCAGTATTACTCGGACCTCCCAAGACAGCTCTAGTTCTTCATCTATCTGGATTTCGAGAACGGCGTTTACTGGAGGAGAATTTAAAAAGGTGGCGGTTCAGCCTCAAGTAAACATCCAGCCGGTAGCATTCCAGTAGATTTAGTTTGTAAAGCATAGCATAGTTATTTTCGCTGTGCAATTGATGATCCAGTGGGATAAAGTGGTTTCCTGTTGCGGTCCTAAGGACGGTGTTCTGTCACACTTTTAAATTCTCCATCTGTGTCTCGCTAGTCTCCTCGCGTCCAAATCGGAGCAGTGTACTTTGCGACCTCCCACCTTCTTTATTAAATGTACCAATTGTATGTAAGTAAGAAATATGGAGTATGCCAGTCGTTGGTAGAATTTCTCGGTTGCCACTTCAAGCTGAGAAAAATTAAGCTGCTCTGTCCGTCATCATCTGATCTCATATGTCGACGAATGGTAGTTTTTGGGATAATCTTCATTCGAACTGCGAAATTCACTGCTGCTCTCTTCACCAGCTGATTGAAATAGTAGCGTTCGACCCAAAGGTCAAAGTCAATTACATCCAAATTTGATTGTTAATAACCCAAGGCTGCTAGGAGTCATATTCTATGACCTGCCTGCATATGCCTGCAACTGCGATTGTCGCCAAAGTAAATAACCACAACAAAATCCGAAAGTCCTTAGCCGACAGTAGAAGAATAGAAGGCAAAGAAAAGTAGCTGGCAACTGAGCCGCGCTCGTCGATACTAAAAGCCGGAAGAATTTTCACCAAGATAACGCATTTTTAGCATCTCGTACGGGCTAATTCTTACCGCCATTTCGAGGGTTTAGAAGAAACTGTGAGTCTCTCCATTTATTGGAAAACATCAAGACACATAGCACAAATCGGTGGAGGAGCTCGGCCGAAGAGCGCTTCAGCGGTTATGAAAAAGCGCCAATTATATACAAAATATCATGAATACATTGATGCACCTCATCCCTCCTCTTTTAAAGCTATTTTTACATTTAGTTCGAGTTCGAGATTCGAAAATACGTGCACTTGTAGATTTGTAATAAACTTTTACTCGGAATTCTTTATAAAACACCTTCACATTTACTGTTTTTCTATTGAATTGAATGTTATTGTTTTGAGTGTTGAGTTGAATGAAGGGTCAGATTAGTTTGCAAACATTGCTGTTGTAATACCCTGAACACGCAAGTAGTTTCTAAGTCATTCGGTCATGCATAAGAAACTTTTACCCAAAAATGGAACTACGAAATTCTGTAGACAAATCAAAGTTACAAATATCGGATAGAAGTTTCATTTCTATTCCTCTGAGTGTTAGCCCTGCGCTTTAAAGGGAATTCATCAATATAAGACAGCACCTGTGCGAAACGATTGTTCGCACGCCCAGCCCCTACTCATCGCTTTTAAAATAGCCTTCCATAGTGAGAAAAGTAGCCACCCTTATACCACTGAACTTATACGGCTGTGAAAACTGACCTCCAAATCTCCAACCGGACGGGTAAGAACCTCTCACAGCCCTTCTATACCAAATGAGCTCTCAGGCAAGGCGACTCAATGCTTTTATCTGATTGTGGATGAAGACAACCAGCCATTGCATACGTGTCTTGGCTCTCACGTTACTGAAACCAGTAATAATTTCGTTCGATGTAGAATAATTTTTGCCAACAGATATATAGATTGAATAGAGAATTGAAAAGTAAAATCCTCTCTCGATAAATAAGTTCAACAGTTATCGAAAAGAAAGTGAAAATAACGGTGCATACCTCAGACGGTAAAACCATTAGCTGTAACAACATTGACATGTTCAATGAGTAAAGAGGAATTGCTGTACGCTGGCCTGCTTAGTCGAGTGGTTAGCAGTGCTTACTGCCTTGTAGAAAGTCATGGGTTCGATTCGCATCCAACATTGTAGACATTTTTATTTTCATTTTTCCAATTGCGGTCGCGTTTCGGCAGGAAATGTCAGCTCCTCTAAATATCCGGATATCTGAAGTGAATTCAAATCTCCTCATAAAAATTCACGAGCCGTTCGGAGGCTAATGCGAATAAACTGTAGATCCCTTCATTTGTTCGAGAAAACATCAAGATGCATATCGCAAATTGGAGGAGAACAAACACATTTTGGCTTCGAAGGTATCGGATGCTGTAATCATTGGTGCAAGCAAAAGAAGAGTAATACCTCCATTCCGTTAGAAGTATGCCTGCTGCATGACCTTATCTTTGCTATTGTTGTTTCCACTGTAATCGCGTAAGCAGCCTGTGCCAATCTAGAAGAAGAAACCTGCTCGTAACCAACTCAATTTAACGGATGAGCCATAGTGAGATCAAAGGGAGTTTCAAGTAGTATCTCCAGAGATTTTAAACACCCTTATTTCGGCAAATACTTTAATTAGAACATGCAATATGTAAAATGTCATAAAGGGTATATAAGCACATATTCAGTACCTTCAGCTTTCATAATGCCTCGCACGTCACGTGAATAATTAATAAGTGGGGGTTTTCTTAATCATTTCTTATATTCTTAAATATATAAATATGTACTTATGCACATACATATTAGTCAGAATCGCAAAATAAATAAATAAATACGACAAGTCGCGCTCTACTTTAGTCAGTTGAAAGTCGTTTTCGGATTGAAAATGCAGCTTGTCAGTGCAGTTTGCCTATTATTCGCCGTAGTTGGTGCATTTGCTTGCGCCGATACAGTTGAAGTGATCACTTCTTTGGGTAAAATACGCGGTGCTACATTGAAAACCCGTTTGGGCGCTGACTACCATGCATTCCGTGGCATACGTTATGCACAATCGCCAGAAGGAGATTTACGCTTCAAGAATCCAAAACCGTATCCAGCGTGGGAGCCTAAAGTGTACGATGCAACGGTAGATGGACCACGCTGTCCACAAGTGACGGAAGCGTCAGATGTGGGTGATCTTTCGGAGGATTGTCTACGTTTGAATGTCTACAGTAAGGATTTGAAAGGCAGAAAACCGGTTGTAGTGTATTTGCATCCTGGTGGTTTCTACTCTGTCTCAGCGCAAAGTAAGAACTTTGCTGGCGCAGAGAATTTTATGGATCGGGATATTGTTTTGGTGACTTTGAATTACCGCTTAGGTACTTTGGGTTTCTTAGCAGTGGGCACAGCTGATGCGCCGGGCAATGCGGGTTTAAAGGATCAAGTGGAGGCATTACGTTGGATACAAAAGCATATTAGTAATTTTGGTGGAGATCCCAATTCGGTGACGTTGTTCGGCTATAGTGCTGGCAGCTTCAGTATTGGCCTGCATATGTTGTCACCAATGTCTAAGGGATTATTCCATCGCGGCATAATGATGAGTGCATCGCCATTGGGACAATTCGATTATGAGACGCGACAAAAGAGATTAAGTGACAGGCAAGCGGACCTGCTGAAATGCCCTAAAGAGCCAGCGGCTGATTTGGTGAAATGTCTGAAGAGTGTAAGTATTAAAGAGTTGAAGGTCTCAGGCATTATTTTTTTCATTTTGTTTGATTTTATTTCATTCCAAATTACTTAATTTTGGTAGATTATTCGAATTTATTTTATTTTATTTTATTTGATCTGGTTTAATTTATTTTATTTTGTTTTAGTATATTTCATTTTATTTGATTTTGTTTTATTTTATTATATTTCATTTTACTCTGTTTTATTATAGTTTGTTTTATTTTTTTTTCTTGTATTTTATTATGTTAAATTTCACTTAATTTTATTTTACTTTATATAACACTATTTTATTTTATTTTATTTAATTTTTTTTTATTTTATTTTTTTATTTTTTTTTACTTTATTTTATTTTATTTTANTTTTACTTTATTTTATTCTATTTCCTTTTATTTTATAATATTTATTCTTATTAAAATTTTATTTCATTCTATTGGTGAATTTTTTTCTTTTCCTTTAATTTACTTCCTTTCCATTTTTTGTATTAATTTCTAATATAAATTTTTTTATTTATTTAACCTTAATTTTTATATTGGTTTTTATTCATTTTAATTAATTTTTTTAAATTTTCTTTTATAATTTACTTAAATTTCTTAAAATGTATGCTTGTAGAAGCCCATGATGGACTTTGTAGACACCACAGCGCAAATGTTCGATTTCAACTGGAGTCCCATATTGAACTGGATGCCCGTGATTGAAGGTGATTTCGGACAAGAACGTTTCATAGTGGAAAACCCTTATAAAACCATACAAAGTCCCAACTTCCAAAAAGTACCGCTTATAATCGGAATAACGGAATATGAATTTATCGGCGGCGCTAATTGTAAGGCATATTTTTAAATTATATATGCATATTCATGTGAATGCCACCAGGATCTTATTTTATGAACTCTCCTGCAGACCTCTTAAACAACGAGACGACCAGAAAATGGTATAATGAAGACTTTGAAAAGTATGCACCGATCGGTCTTATGTATGAACGTGATACAGAACGTTCCAGAGAAGTGAGTCGTGTCTTGCGCTCAAAATATTTAGGAAATGCCACGCTAACGCAATCCGACTCCTTGGTACCATTTGGAAATCTCTACTCTGACGGTATTATTGGTTTCGAATATCATCGCTTCTTGGATATGGTTTCGCGTCTAGTGCCAACATATACATATCTTTTTACCTACAAGGGTCGCTATAGTCATTTCAAGTTGAATGATGAAGTTTTTGGTAAACTAATTAATTATAAAAAATTAAATTTTATACATAACATTTTTTAAAGGTGCCGTACATCACGATGAATTACTATATTTATTGTATGTGCCCGTTATAACGCCACTCTTCAAGAAAACCGATCCCGAAAATGTGGTTATCGAAAATTTGACACGCATGTGGAGTGAGTTCGCTAAGAAGGGGTAAGTGACTTTATAAAAGTATCGGTCAGATTTCAAAGCGATATGCCTAATAATACACATACGATAATATCTACGAGATTAGGTTAACTCGTTGTCTCGTCCGGAAAAGGAAGAGATCTAAAATAAATTACGTGAGTAACACCCGCAAGAAAAGATAGGTTTCAAGCTCTAGGGCGTTATAGATTACATTAGAGACGAATTCATGGACAAGGATATCTTAATTATCAGCGATTGCCAGGCTGTAGTTACGACGCTTTGCTCGCTTACAACAAACTTAATAATTTCTTTGAACTTCTCCGACCTTTACAGTAGACGGCCAAATAATAAGGATCATTTGGACTCCTGTCCACAGCGACATTGCAGAAAACTGTAAAGCAGAAACGACTAAGCAATTTATTCCCGATAAAACCGTATCTTTCTCTGTGTGCAAAATGCTTCTCAAAGAATCAAGATGTGCTTGCACTGACGGCCACTTTGTGGCTTATACACTGTTGGAGCGCTTGAAGCGCTAACTGATTTGGTTGCCGGGGCAAAAAGCTTACTCGAAAGATACATCTAGTTACATCTAAATACTTATAGTCTTTTTCTGAACATATAACCCAGTATTAACATAGTTCGGTGAAAGCTGTGTTGATATGAAGCTGTAGAAAGTCGCAGGTCCGAGGTGTATAGCTGGAAATCGAAAGACCACATGGAATTAGTCTAAGGATCTGGAATCTAGATAATGACGTGATATTATCATCTCAGCACTTCTTAAACAATCGTACAGAGCTGGCAAATATTGCTGGTCGACCCTTACTCGTGATTAGCACAAACCGCTTTGCAGCCTTTGTTGTGTTCTCCTTTAGTTTTTCGGAAACTATTCAAAGAGCAACTCTTACAATTGCTCTCACCTTTTGTTGGAAAACAGCAAAAAATACGTCACAGATTAGAGAAAGAACTCGGCTGAAAATTGAAAATTGGTTGATGTAAAATAGGACGAATTAATTTGGTCCGTTTCCACATGATGGTTTCACCAGAAAATTATGGCCGGTCTTGAAAGCTGTTACCTATTTTATTGGGAAGATTTCACATCTGTCAAAAATAATTAATGATCATCAGCGTCTGTTTTTGACAATGACATTGTCTTTTGCCTCTTCGAAATTGTCGGGGCAAGTTTTGATATTTGTCTGCAGAAAGTGGTTTCGACGCTTCAAAAGTGGTGATTTTTAGCGTCGAAGACTGTGAGTGAAGCCAATCCAAAAAGTCTGAATAAGTTGAATTGGAGGATTTATTGGATCAAGTTCCTGACCAAATCCAAACTGAACCCACAGAATCGTTGGGAGTGACTCAGCAAACAATTTTCATTCGGTTAAAGTAATTTGGAATTATTCAAAAGCAAGGAAAATTGGGTGTTATACGAAAGACGATTTCACACCTCTGAAATGTATCTTGAAAGACATCAAAAGTAAAGATTTTGCACCGAATTGTGACTCTCGATAAATAGTGGATAAACTAAGGTCACCACAAGAAGGAAAAAATTTCGTACCAAGCACAATGAGCACGCTTGAGCATCGTCTATGGGGAAACCAAGAAAAACATAGACGTTTCAAAGGTCTGCATATGGTGGGACCAGATGATTGTGGTGTATTAAGAGCTGATATAACCAAGCGAAACTATTGACGTGAAACGTTGTTAACTACACGTACAACTAATGCGTTTGAGTCGTGTTTTGGATGAACAACCGAAAGGCATGACAAGGTAGTTTTGCAACATGACAACACTCGGCCTCTCTGTCAAACCTCGGTAATGGTCAGAATATACCTGAAAACGCTATAATGAGAGGTATTCTCCAGACCTGCTGCTTCTTTGCTGCTAGTGGCTTTTTTGAAGGTTTCTCAACTTTCTGGGCATACACCAGTTCGGGTCTTTTGAAGCATTCGAAGAATGTATAGTATGCGAAAATTAAAAAAGAGAGATGAGAAAGTGTAACACTTTTTTGAACATAAGAAATCGGATCGAATTAATTTGTACACCCAGTATGTAAATATATTGGATGAGTGCATAAGTTCGTGCCCGATTTCAAGTGCAAACTAAAATTGAAATTTTTTGAAGA